CAATGAATTCCAATTGTCTCCTGCGAAGTGAATCCAGGAAAGGAACAAGTAAGCATTCACTGTTCCCAAAGACCAACTAAAACCATTGGCTAGCTGGTTGTTTTGGGCTGGGCCTAGTGCAGGGTGTATATGTACATTCTCAGATCTGTAACTGCAGGGAGCATAAGTGACTGACAGGCACAGCTGCTGAGCTCAGAAATCCAACACTGCTGCAGCTGAAATCCACTACCACTGTGTTTTCATGAAGGCCACACTTCCCATGGGCAGCTCTCAGCCATTATCTGAATGTGGCATAAATATTAAGACAGGCCATTCCTACAAGAAATAGAACTCCCCAAGCTGAAAAAGGATAGCACAGGGTAGTCCTGACACTACTTCACAGGTGTAGAAAGTAGACAGTAAGATCTAATGAATTAGAACAAGACAATATATTACAACAAAGGAAACAGCATGAGTATCAGTGTAGTTTTGCCAGTTCCCCTGCCCTCAAGTCCCACAGGGCCATGCAACAGGCTTAGATGGATGCTACCCATGCAGTGGGATGTATCACAGAGCTGAGCAATCTGGGGTCAAGGGCCTGGGACTTTTGGAGCAATGAGAAAACAAACCCAATGACCCTCCCTCGAGAAGGAAACCGTTAAATGTTAGTCACACTGTGGTCACCTTGCCCTACAGAAATGGCTCAGTATCAGGAGACAGATAAGCTTTGCTTTAAAGACCTGACCAAGAATGCATAGGGATTCTCAGGGTCCATGGTGGGCTGTCTTTCCCAAGTGATACATCTGCTTTGCCAAAATATTCTTAGAACTGCACCACATGGTCTAAGACTTCCTATTAACTCTTTCTTCTTCCCCCCTCTCCTCCACATGAGTTAAACTTTCTAGTCTGACAGCTAGCTCTCCCTGACTACTCTGGCTCCCTCCCCATTTTCCCTCATAGGTAATTTCCCTAATATATCTTGAGAGAATATATTCTTGATATATATATCCCTAATATATTCTCTTATATATCTAATCCCATCTTGGCATCTGCTTCTCAGAGAACCCAAACTAACACAAATGGTGCCAGTGGTGGTCCAAGAAAACAGGCTATGATGAGATGGGGTTCTGGGACTACTTCAGTCATTGCCTGGTGGGCAAAATGGTCACTGTCCTGAGGGGGCTGTGGAGCATGGATAGTCCCAGGTATAGGGTGGCAGTCCAACTTCTAAAGATTTTTCTGGAGATGACCTGGAAAAACTGAGAATGGCCTTGCAAAAAGTGATGAATCAGACTTTTGAAAAATATGGGAGGAATAAGGTCTACAGACAAGGAGATGGCTGGATACTGCCCAGCAGCAGGATAATGATAAATGGATGACAGTTAATAAGTAGTCAAAGACTAAATGTGAGAGCCAGAAGGCTTTCATGGAGTTACAAAGAGGCCCTCACTTCCTATGGTGCAAGAGCAACAATGAGAGGACATGAGAGTTGTAAAACTCCAAGGAGATACTCAACATTTAAAAAGGCTACAGGTCTGCTTTGCTGAAGTCAGGACAGCATGACTTCCTGTGGCTGGAAAATCCTGGGACCCTGAAACATGGGGTGGGAACATCTGGCCAGACTCCCCTAATGGCTTTGGCTCAGCAGATACCCCCACCCAGCTCTCACTTCACAGAGGGCCACTCTTCCCTAGTAAGAGCTAGCACTTGCCCTGTGCTGGTAGATGTGCAGAGGCTGCTCCTCACACAAGCTCCTCACACAAGAAGATGCCCCTCTTCTTGTTACTGAGCTGATAACTAGGGATTAAATCCCAGCATAATATGACTGGGGAAGTGTCTGGGCCTAATAAAGAATATATGCCAAAGAGTTGCAACAATTAGCTGACAGGAATATATAGATTGCCAGGAACCAAGGAAGCACTGGGTTTGGATTTTGAGGGGGATGTATCAACAGAGCCAAGAAAGCAAGAATTCATAGACTAGCAGTACTTCCTCCAAACAGAAGATTTAATGCCCTGGCAACAACCAGAGTGGGTGGCAACTCTCTACTAAGGTGGCTTTTACAGGCCCAGAGAAAATGATGGCCACCACTGAACAAAGGAGAACTGCCTGAGTTGTCCTTACAAACTGAAGAAAAAAAAAAAAGGAATGAGAAGGCAGATGGAAGTGGGCATGCTAGAGTAGATAGGTTATGAGGTCAAAACTCCACAAGAGTACTGTTCCACAGCAGGGCCCAAGGGGCACCAGCATTGCTACATCCAGGCTACTGATGGCAGTAAGAGATGATCACAGAGATGGCACCACAGAGTAATAGTCCCACCAGGTAGAGGTGCTTACTCACCAGAAGCCAGGAGGCCACAAATACCAAAACAAACCACAACGTCTGAAGGAAAGCCAAGTGGGCTTTACCCACAGGGAAGTTGTGGAGAGGGCAAATGGACCATGGTGTCCTTAGGAAGAATATAGACATACAGCCAACAAGAATATTGCTGAAGCTGTACAAGCTGAAAACAAGAGTAGAGGAGCAGGGGGATTGAGGAAGGTTTCCCAAATAAAAAATCCCAATTCTTTGCTCAATTTCCAGGCTTCAGCCCATACTCAGATCTGGAAGAGATATCTGGGTCCCTAGGAGGAAGAGCAATGGAGTAGGTGATGATTCCCCTAGTATTTCTCAAAGGGGCCTATAGCCACTCACTTGGCTATGTGTACACTGGGGAAAGGACAGCCAGGCATTTGAGGTATACTGGACTCAAGATCAAAGCTGACATTGATACCTAGGCACCTGAAGCTTCATCATGGCCCTTATTAGACTAGGGGCTTTGAGAGCCAAGTTATAACTAGAGTGCTGGCTACAACAGGACTCGCAGTGGGCCTGCAGACCTGCCCAGTGGTGGTTTCCAAGTCCTCAAGTGTGTAACTGCAAATGAGTTGATAGTTGAAAATAACCCCCCTGTGGGTCCATGGCCTGTTGGTAAGAGCTGTCACAATGAGGAAAGCCAAGTGGAAACCTCTAAAACTGCCTCCCTGCCATCATCAATGAGAGTAAATTATAATGGTTTCTTTTCTGTGTCAAGTTGGGACTATAGCACCCAATTAGTCAATCAAACACTAACTTGGGTGTTTCTGTAAAGGCATTTTGTAGATGTGGTTAACATCTACAATTAGTTGATTTTAAGTAAAGGACACAGCCTCCATAATTTGGGTAGGTCTCATCCAACCAGCTGAATGCCTTAAGAGCAAAATTGAGATTTCCCTGAAGAAATTCTGCCTGTGGACTGCAGTGTCAGCTCCTGCCCAAGAGTTTCCAGCCTTCCAGCCTGCCAGCCTGCCTTATAATACCACATTTGCTTAACCAGCCCCCAGAACTGCATAAGACATACATGTTCCTTGCCATATATAAGTAATATCCCAGAGGAGATGGAGATCAGGGCCACTAATGAAAACCTAAAAGATACAGAGTGATAGCCTCCATCATATATTTGGGAGTTCCCATATGACCAGATTAAGGAAGGATCAGCTTGGGCTTGGTTTACAGATAGGTCAGCTCAGTATGTGGGTACAATGAAGATGAATAGTGTCTACATTAAAGCCACATTCTGGAATGGAAAAGGAAAATTTTTCCAATGGAAAGAACCACAAGCAGTGCACTTGGTTTAGAAGTAGCCTGATGTGAGACTATTGAATATATAAATTCTTGGGTAATAGTAAATGGTCTGGCCATCTAGTTCACCTGGAAGAAGGGCTGGAAACTCAGAGATGAGGAGGTCTGGTGTAAAGGCTGTGGGCTGACATGTGGGAACAGGCAAGGTGTGAAGATTTCTGCCATCACATACTAATGCCTATCAGAGAGCATCCACCATGGGAGAGGCACTAAACCACCAAGCAGACAAAATGATTCAGCCAGGTGAACAGGCCTTCTTTAATGGCTACCAAACAACTGGCATGATGGACACACAAGCAGAGTGGTCACATGACTGATGAAGGCTCTGCAGCAAGAACTCCTGCTTACCAAGGCTGATCTAGCAGGATTCCTCTGAGGCAACTTTGGCTCAAGGACTCACCATTGGTTTTGCTGAAACATTCTTAGAACTCCACAGCAGTCTAAGACTTTTCCTACCCAACTTTCTTTCTTTACTTCCCTCTCTTCTCCATGTGTCAGACCTACATCAGAGTCTGACAGATTTCCCAGACTTCTCCAATTCCCTCTTGGCAGGCATCACCCTCCTCCCCCACCTCACCTCCCCACAGGAAAAAAAAAACTCTTATACATTTAAAAGCCAAACTAACACATCAGGTAACCTAACTTAGTGTACTCACTATTAAAGCTCTAGTCCTGTTTCAGAGGGTCCAAAATTCAATTTTTATAATTCATCAGGAGTGTTAAGATCCTGTGAGCTAGTTCCTACCAAACTCCTAAATGACTGATTGCTAAAACAGAAGGACAACACTGTCAAAATGGGAAAGAACTGTCCAGCAGACCAGATAGATATGCAATGGAGTGGACAGGGTGTTCCCATCCCAGCAAGAGCAACCATGTGAAAAGCAGAGTAAACACCAAAGTAGCCTGCTATGTCTGGAACATAGAAAGCAAGCTGGCTAGCCAACCCAAATGTCCATCCACTGAAAAATGGATAAACAAAATGTAGTATATCCATACAGTGAGATTTTATTCAGCCATAAATAGAAAATGAAGTACCGATACATGCTAAAACATGGATGAACCTTGAAAACATATTGAAACATAGCAGACACAAAAGGTCACATATTATATAATTTCATTTATATAAACTGTGCAGAATAGGTAAATTCATGGAAATGGAAAGCATATTGGTGGTTGCCAGGGACAGGGAGGAGGAAATACAGAATAACTGCTTAATGGGTATAGGATTTCATTATGGAGTGATGAAAATGTTTTGGAACTAGACAGGAGTTAAAATAGTTACTTTCATGTCATGTGAAATTTCACCTCAATAAGAATAAATAAATAAATAAATTGCAAGGCAAAAACCCAAAGACATATATGAACCAAAAAAGAAAAAAAATTTAAATTTTCAAATACAGGAAGGGGCAAAAGGGATTGAATTGATGTTATGAATCATCGCATTCACATCAAGCTGTCTAAACCCAGTCAAGCCACATTTCTCTGCTCTATGGGTCTACCTGCCAACTGGAAAGGTCACTGAAAAGGCTCTTAACATCTAGAATAAAGGCTAGTAGAGTTACCTGGCATTTCCCCTTTCCTGAACACTTCATCATTAACTGGGGTCATAAATTCAAGGGCCACACTTATGAACCCAATTTTTAGGATATATACTCTAATACTCCAAGCATATTCCCAAGGACAATAGATTTTGCTCAAAACTCCAGGACATTTGGCTCTTGAAAGTACAGCTCTCTCAATGAGTCTAATACTCAAGGGATGGAAGAATGCAGCCTCAGAGATTTTACACACAGAAACAGTAAAAATGTAACTGAATTTGATTGCCTTTTTAAAATGCAGTTCATTTTAATTCTATCAAGCAGCTGCCCAGGCTGCAGCTTCAGTGGTGTTTGCGGTCACTGGGATTCAAGGGGTCTGGGTCTCGGGAATGTCGTGCCTTTTTAGGCCTATGGGATTTATCTGGGCTCCTACTTCTACTTCTACTTCTATGGCTATGTCCCTCGTGCCGGCCAGAATGTGTATCTGAGGTTCGACCTCTGTCCCTATCCCTGTTTTTTTCTTCTCTTTCTTCCCTCCTGCTTGAGGACTTGTGCTCATGTTTAGGCTTCTCCTTCTTCAGCTCCCTCTCCCGGTCCTCTGCTCCCCCTCGACAGGCTGTCCTGACCTCAGGGGAGCTGAGGTGGTGCTTCCACACCTCCCTGGACTCTGGCTTCTGACCCCTCTCTGAGTTCTTGCTGCTGTGCTTTTTAGAGCCAGGGTCATCCTTCTCCTTTATTGTCTTGCTTCTGGGAATTGAAGAGGAGGTTGGCTGCTCTGCCAGTAACTCCCGATCAATCTTCTCTTTGTCTTTCTTTCTCTTCTTTTTTTCCTTTTTGTCTGGAGGAAGAAAGGGATGCAATCAATACAAAAAGGAAAATGGATCTATAGTGAAGTGTTTAAACACTCTTAAGCTTAATTTGTACCAATCAGGATTTTTGCAAACTCTTTTCAGCAGAGGATACAATCCCTAAATTCAAACTGTCCTCATTATATAATAAATACATGTGACTTCAGACATAATAAAAACTGTTAGATGAAAAGAAAAAAAATAAAATTAAATGTTTCAATCCCACCATGACTTCTAAAAAAACAAACAAAGAAAAGGCAAATGGAGCCCTGGCTGGTGTGGCTCAGTGGATTGAGCACTGGCCTGCAAACCAAAAGGTCACCGGTTCAATTTCCAGTCAGGGCACATGCCTGGGTTACAGGCCAGGTCCCCAGTAGGAAGTGCATGAGAGGCAATCAATCACACACTGATGTTTCTCTCCCTCTCTTTCTCCCTCCCTTCCCCTCTCTCTAAAAAATAAAAATCTTTTTAGAAAAAGTCAAATGGAGGAGATGGAGGCTATGCAAAAGGAAAGCATCCCTGGCAGTAGTGTGATAGTCTAGACTGCCAGAAGAGTACCTCTGAGAAGCCAAGTTCAATATGTTACCCTTGATGTGCCAAACTGCTGTATAAGGCAATTCCTACGCTTAATTGCCTCTTAAAAGTCCCTACTTCCAAATACAGTAACTTTCTGAGGTACTAGAGGTTAGGACTTCAATGTATGAATTTTAAGGGACACAGTGCAACCCATAATATTAGCCTTCTGCTAAAAGTACCTCTCCTTTCCCTAGTCAAGTAAGGTTCTCCACACCCTCCCCTCCTCCACACTTAAGAATTGATTATCAAGTCTCAGTGAATGCTAGGAAGATCAAATACTAACAACTACCCAGAATCTCCTCTTAGGTCCTAACACTTTACCTTTTCTGTGTTTTTTGGTGGGTTTGTCATCTTCAGAGCCCTCAGATGAGTTCTGTGGGGGGGTGCGAGCCCCACAGCCCTTATTCTGGAGCTCTTTGGTCACATCATCCATATCTTCTGAGTCCTTTGGAGCCCGATAGTTAGACACATGATCTACTCGGATAGTTCTTCCTTTGATCTAAGATAGACAGGCAATGCTTCAGCAAAGACAGTCATCCTATTAAACTACATGAACCCAGTTGCAGAAAGCCATGGTATGAACTACACCCATGACCTTCCTGCTATTCTAATTCTGGGGAAATCTCTAAAACAGACCTAACTGGTGTGTCACAGCACACACCTACATATTAATTTGCTCAGCTCTCAGGACAGCCAGGTGGGGGCTTGGGGCAGTTGGAGCAATGAAGCAGATGTACTAGGTAGCCTCCACAACTTACCCCAGGGTGATAATAATATCTTCAGGTTTTACATGTGCCATGAAATGAAAAAGACTGGGAAGTTCTGTCCACAAGCAGCAGAGGAAAGTGTGGTAATCTTGATGCACAAACAGTGAATTAGTCTCAATCCGTAACATTAATTTATAGTGAAATATACCTTGGCAGCTAGAAGAAATCTTGAAATTGAACCCAGTACTACAGTTGATTCCTCAACATAGCAATTAGGATGACGCCAAGGTAAACCAATTGGGAGGGGGGAAGGAATCTAGAAAGACCACTGTCTTTTTTTGTTTTTTTCTTTTTTTCTAGCTATATTTAATCACTTGGTTAATTCAACCAGTACTGAAAAGTCCGCTGTCTTTTTTCTTAAGCCCTCACACCTTGCTCCACCCCCACCCTCCCAAAACAACTGGCTCACACTGTTACTTTCAATGTGAATCACACTCTCCAGGTGAGCAAAAAAAAAAAATTATCCCCTCACTTAAAACAAAAACATTCAGGCAGATACTGACTTATTCTATAGGCAAAGCATCTGAAATTTGAAAAGTCTGGCTTTTATACTTCTAATACAAGAGGACATTTTTATTCTTACCTTGGGCCCAAGCAGCTCCTGTCATCTTTCCTATTCCCCATTTCAAAACATCTTGAAAACCTTCCTTTTATGGTGATTCCCTTTGACTGTTGGCTCTCTTAAAAATTAAGCCTTGCCCTGGCCAGTATGGCTCAGTTGGTTAGAGCATTGTCCTATAACCAAAAGGTTGCGGGTTCAATTCCCGGTCAGGGCACATACCCAGGTTGTGGTTCGATCCCCAGTCCAGTTGCATACAGGAGGCAACCAACCAATGTTTCTGTCTTACATCAATGTTCCTCCCTTCCCCTCTCTCTAGAAGCAATGAAAAATGTTCTCAGGTGAGGATTTTTTTAAAAAAGCAAGCCTGGAAACCTGTTCCACCCTGTTTTATAGTCTCCAACTGTTCCACACTGTGCAATCAGTGACAAACTCTCCAACTCAAGAGTCGCCTCCTGGCCTGAGATAATGCATGTTCATCTACAGTGCTTTACCTAAATGAGTGCAGGGACTCTGTGGAGCACAGATAAGCCTGACTTTACCCATTCCCTTTTCTTCGCCCAAGGTCTCACTGACAAGGGTTGGATTTATTGGGAACAGAGGACAGAAAACTTCAGAATGAGTTACTTTTGTAGACTTTGTCATCAGATTTTAACTAGAGACTATCCAGGGCCCAGAACTGATTGCTAAGTCTGTGGAGACATAATGACAGACATACAGAACTATCCTAGGTCATGAAGCCATGATAGAACCCTAAATCCCCTGACACAGGACACATGGAAGAGCAGTGTTTGTTAGTCTCTTTGTTCTCCAACAAACCAGAGATAAGAGTGGAATGTTAAGGATGAAAAGGTAAGAAATAGAGGCAGGGTAGGGGGGGTGGGAGGAGAGGAGGCATGGTTCCTAGGTTCCTAGAGAAACAGTTGTTAAGAGATGGGGAAAAGGAATAGGATGTAAGGTCATGAGCAATTAGAATTATTTCCTGGCATTATTTACTGGTCAGTATGTCCCCACAACTCTACAACCCTCACAACATACTCAGCTGACCAGTACTGTATTTGAGCCTGTGGAGATTTAGGTGAAAAATGAAACCAAACTGCTATCTGATAAAAGTCTAGCCAAATCCTGCTTACTAAGAACACTTACCTTGATCCCATTAAAATTGTCCACGGCCAGAATTGTGCTCCTCTGGTCTTCATAGCAGAGGAAACAGAATCCTTTGGATTTCCCAGTCTTCTTGTCCCGTACCAGATTAATATTAACAATCTCCCCATATCTATTTATTTTATAAAAGAGTAAAGACACTATTGGTTTAAAATGCAAAAACTTTCAGATTGGATGACAAAACAAAATTCAAATTATATAGTTTGCACAGGAAAAACATCTAAAACAAGATGATATAAAAAGGTTAAAAATAAAAAGTTAGACAAGTATATAGCAAGAATACCCAATTAAAATCAAAAATAAATTCAAGCCCCCCAAAGGTCCTAAAACATAACAAAAGTGTAAGTTATGAAATTTTATTCATAAACTAACAAATAAAAGTTTAATTAAAAAACTATTAGAAATACAAACAGAAACTAAGTGAAAATTATGAGAGATTTTAACATATCACTTTATAACACAAAGTTGACAAAAATTAGGGCAGAGGAATTAATATAATTAACATATAATTATGTAATAGAAATACAATAAACATACAATTAATACTATAACAATTAAAGTGTTAACATATATTACTGTCAGACTAGTAGATATAGAGATATGTTTGAATCTTATAAAAAAGCAACACTTTCTTCTCAAGAATCTATGACACATGTATTAAAATTGACTACAGCATAGGTCTCAAAATAAACGTAGTACCTGAAACTTACTATCCTGGTTAACAAATGAATGAAAGAGAAAATGAAACATAATAAAAAAAAAGTCAGTGGCAAACTGTTTAGAAGATTACAAAAATGAGAATAATAATATATACCAAAAGTTATGGGATGCAGCTAAAACCATACCCTGGAAAATCTGTAACCTTAAAGAAGTATACTGTTAAAAAAGGAAAAATGAATATAAAAGTAGCAAATCTAAGGAAAGCAGATGAGAGTTAATAAAATTCTACCTTACTCCTTATCCAAAAATAAATTCCAGATAAGTTAAAGCATCACAAAGTAAAAAATAAGCCATAAAAATCAAATGGGAATTGATGGATACATTATATAACATGATCACATACACACACCTGGGCCTGAAATCTAGCATCTTACTTAATAGAAATTACTAGAGATGATTCAACTAAGATCAGGAACTATGTAACACTATTTAACATTGTAGATATTAGCCAATGCAATTAAGTAGAAAACAGATATAAGAAATGAAAGAAGTAGTAAAACTATCTCTGTTTTAAGATCACAATAGCAGTAGTATAGAAAATCCAAGAGAATCAATGATAAGCAATGATAAAAACAAACAGTATAACAATTCAGTAAGGTGCCAGGATATGAAGTTAACAAAAATAAGTCATCCTCTTACACACAAGCCATTATCAGATTAGATCAACCAGATCAATATTAAAACATATAATCAATGGATAAAGCCTATATAAAGAATTTTTTAAACTGCTGAAAGATACAAACATACATTTAAACAAATATAAAGACATCCCTTGTTCTTGGATAGTATGAGTCAACATCATAAAGATATCAAAATCTTCCCCGAAGTTAATACTGAAATTTAATGTAATCCCAATTTTCAATACAAGTTGTGTTTCCCCCCTGGAGCTGGATAAGTTGATTCTACAGTTATTGTGGAAAAATTAACAGAATAGCTGGAAAAACTTTTAAAAAATAGGGAGGAGTAACTCTCCCACACTGAAAAGCTTCTATGATTAATTAGTGTGGTACTGGCACATGAAGAGACAGACAGACCAATAAAACAGAATAGGAAACCAAGAAAGAGACTACTTAGGTATATATGGAAAAATAATATATGATAAGGATGACATCCCAATTTGTTTGGGGGGAAAATACAGGCATTTTGATAAATATTGTTGGGACAACTGGATAGCCATTTAGAAAAAAAGAAACAAGAAATTGGATCCATATCTCACACTATACATCAAAATAACTCTAAATGGATCAGAAAGTTCAATGTATAAAATTGAAACCATACAAGAACTAGACAAGAACACAGATGGGTGGGTAGGAAGAAATACTTTCTAATTATGACTCAAAATCCAGAAGCAATTAAAAAGACCACATAAAATACCAGAGGGGGAGACTATAAAGTGACAGCATGAGGGAGTTTTTGGAACTGTTCTCCATCCTAATTGTGGGAATAATCACAAATCTTTCCTGTATTAAAACTCATAGGACTGTACACCTCCTAAAAAGTCCCTTTTACCATAAGATAATTTAAACATATGAATGAATATATAAAAATAATAATTCTGCATAGCACAAAATCACAATAAGCAAGTCAGAAGACAAATGACAAACTAGGAGAAAATATTATTTGCAATTTACTTCACAGATTAAAGATCAGAAAGCTATTCTTTTTCCTTTTGCTATAAAGGACATTATCAGGATAACTGGTAAAGTTGAATAAAGTCTATACATAAATACTACTATTGCATCAGTGTTGGTATCCTGAATTTGATCACTACACTGAGATTAAACCAGAGAATGTCCTTGCTTTAGGGAAAATACATATTGAAGAATTGAGAGATCAATGGGCATCAGGTCTGCAACTGACTCTCAAATGGTTCAGAAAAAAAAATAATACTCATCCATGGAGAGAAGTAACAATAAAGCAAACATGGTAAAATGCTAACATCTGGGGGCTCTGGGGAAAAGGGATAAAGGTATCCTTTATACCATTTTATAACTTTGCAGTTTGAAGCCTGAAATTATTTCAAAAGAAAATGTTAAAGAAAGATTATAGGAGCTGGCTTGAAAGGACTCCTAACAGACCAAATTGGAACAATTTGAGCATCAAGAAATAATAATGATGGTACTGCAGTGTAACACACCAAATGTTTAAAGAACAAGTCAATAGTAATACAATACATGACAAAGTGTTATAATAAAGATTTAATATCCTTAATAAATGAAGGGCTCTTGTAAAGTCAATAAGAAAATGAGGAAAACACCAATAGGAAAAAAATAGGCAAATGATATGAATAGCAATTGACAAAAAAAAAGAAATAATAATGGCTTGTAAATCTATGAAAAAATGTTCTACCTCACTGATGATGAAATAAAGGCAAAGTAAAATAAAATGAGAAGCCATATGGCAAATATTTTTTAAGATAACCGCTACCAATTAGGAGTCAGAAAAATGAGCATTCTAGTGATAGTGGAAATTGATATAACCTTTTCAGAGAGCAATATGGCAATGTTTATAAATATCTTAAAAATGCTGACGTCTGAATCCAGTGATTTCACCAAGGAAACCATCAGGAATGCATACAAAGATGTAGGTAACACAAGGAACATGGCAATATAATTTATAACAGCAAAATATTGAAAATTATCCCCAACATTTTTTAAAAGATAAAGTACACCAAATTGTTAACAGTTTTCATTAAAGTACATTCTATTTTCTTCTTTATACCTTTTCTTTTCACCAAACTTTCTATAATGATTATACATACTTTGATAATCAGAAAACTTGCTACACCCTGCTTGCCATGGTCCTCTGCCTGTACATGCTATCCAACTTCTCTGCAACAGTCCTCTCTTCCTGCAGGGCTACACAACCCAAGGGCCAAGGCCCTCTGCTCTTGTGAGTTGCTGAAGCCCTCTGGCCCTATGAACTTTCTAATCACTCTGTGTAGCTCTAGGGTTATGTCCAACCCCTCTTCTGCCAGCTGCCACTATTACTGTGAGCTGTCAAGTCCCCCTCCCACCCAGTGCTGCTGCTATCATCTCACAGAATGAAGACCTTGAGGTTCTCCTACTTATTTGTGTTTCTCATCAGCCTGTGATTCAGCCTCTGGGTAAAGAGATCAGTTCTGCTCACCAACCTTATACACATTTAGAAACAAAGAAAGCAAACTACTGCCTAAACCTTTTGCTTTTTTTCACCAGTTGCTTGGTGATTTGCCCCAATTCTACAAGGCCACAAAGGTGTGGGCCCAGAAGCACCCTGTCACCATGAGTTAGTTACCCCTAGTTTATAGAAGTCTGAGGAAGATACATAGTATCTTCGTGGGAGTTGCAATCTGTTTAGTGTAGGCCCCCGCTGAATAGTCCCCAGTGAAAAGCAATAAAAATAGACCAAAATGCCCAAAACTGCCTCCCAAAACATCCAATTTCTTGGATTTTGCACATTGGGAGAATTCTAGAACCATGTCCTGTGACTGACCTAGACTAGAGTAGGAGCTCTGGCCCTCCCCATGCAGGCATGCCAGTCAGCCTAGAATTAGAATAAATGGCTTTTGTGATGCCACAAAAAGGCATTATGGAAGCAAAATACTCTGATAACACCGAAGGCAGGAAATGAAAGGGGACTTACTGTGAGAACACACAGATGATGTCCCCTTCAGTCAGTTCATAAGGAAGTCCTCCTAGAAGGGAAAACCACATTTCAGTTCTACAAACACTTACCAAGTGTCTATAACATACGACGCACAAAGCCAGGCACTGAGAGTGCAAACAAGAGTAAGCCACAGGACCTGCCCTCAGAGAACTAACAGTCTGATGCAATGACAGAAACATATATACAATCCTCCTCATACCTAAACTTCTATGGACAAAGCAGACTGTTTCCAGCACAAAATTCTCATCCCACAAACGTATCTTGACTCACTGGCTCTTTACTCATAAACTCACCACTAAGATCCAAAATCAGCTTAAATATGCAAATATTAACTCCACCTCACACAGACTAAGTGTTTTATAAGGACAACTGTTAAGCATTTCACAGAAAATAAGTTCACCTGCAAATGTTTCCTTCCTCGCCTATAAAGTGGGGATATGAATACTTACCTCACAGATTTGTTATAAGAATTAAATAAAACAATGAATATAAAGTGCTTAACACCATGACTGGTGCAATTGTCTCCTTGAATAAGCTGTCAAATTACTGGATGTGACACAAAGTGAATGTACAGATGGTACTATGACCATGGACAGAAGGCAGCAGCTAATCAGATGAGGAAAATGAATTCTGAAGAAAGGGGGACAATTAACAGTAATATGCGATACTGGTTAAGACCATGAGTTCTAGAATCCCATAGTTCTGGAAATTCCACTTACTAGCTATGTGACCTTAAGAAGTTCATTGACTTCTCAGTGCCTCAGTTTCCTCAGTTGTATGCGGGGGGAAGGGGGTGATGATAATGGTTTCAGACAAAGAAAGACAAACACCATATGATTTCACTTATATGTGGGATCTAAACAGCAAAATAAATGAACAAAAAAAAAAACACAGAAGCAGACTCATAGAGAACGGACTGATGGTTACCAGAGTGGAGGGAAGTTGGGGGATGGGAGAAAAAGGTGAAGGGATTAAGAAGTACAAATTGGGCCCTGGCTGGTGGGGCTCAGTGGACTGAGTGCTGGGTCTGTGAACTAAAGGGTCACCAATTCGATTCCCAGTCAGGGCACATGCTTGGGTTGCCAGTCAGGTCTCCAGTAGGGGGCGCCCAAGAGGCAACCACACATTCATGTTTCCCTTCCTTCCCCTCTCTCTAAAAACAAATAAATAAAACCTTTAAAAAGTAATGAAGTACAAATTGGTAGTTACAAAACAGTCATGGGGATGTAAAGTACAGCATAAGGAATATAATCAATGATATTGTAATAACTATGTACAGTGTTGGATGGGTAGCAGACTTAGCCAGGTGATCACTTTTTAAGTTATATGAACGTCTAATGACTATGTTGTACACCTAAAACTAATACAATATTATACGCCAACTGTAACCGCAAAATAAAAAGCTATAAAAATAACAGTCTGAGAAGCAAAGTAGCAAAATTCTTGGTACAGTGAATGGCGACTGTAACTATGAGACCACTGATTTGGCAGGCACAGCAAACTAGACATGAGGGAGAAAAGAGATGGAAAACAGATTTATGGGCAGACAGCAGAAAGAAACAAAAGTGAATGATGAATGTCAGGAAGAATGAAGAGCGGAAAAACTGAAATGTTACAAAGCAAGGCAGGAGAGAATGAGGAGCACTAGGAAAGACGTGAAGCTCACCCAGGAAGATCCAGGCGCTGTCTTTGTACTCGGAGTGCCAGGACACCTCCTCCGCCACCCCGAGCTGGACCTCACGTTCATTCAGCTCATTGATCAGCTTCACTTTAGTTAAAGGGCTGCAGAGGGGGTGGAAGAGCGGTAAGTAAGTGCGGCCTGGCCTAGGGTAGGGAGAGCAAAACGAGGAGTCTAATTTTCTAGTCTTGAGCCACTCCCGCCCCTCGGCCGGTCGGAGGCTCTACCACATCAACCCAGTGGGTCACTCCCAGCGGCCCACCCCTAACCGACCCCCACCGTCCCCACAGCTCACCACTGCCCCCCCCGCCCCTTAAAAGAAGCGAAGGCCTTACTTCATCTCCGCGGGTTCGCGCTCAAAAAGGTGAAATTTTCTATGGGCGTGGCTGCGGGGCGCATGCGTGGCCCTGGCGTGGCGCGCCCTTTAAACTCTGCGTAGCTCGCGCCGCGCCGGAAGTACTCAGCTCCGGCTAACCGCTCCTTCGCTCCTAGCCACAGCCCTGCGGCCCTAAGGCACGACGCCTGCGCACTAGTGCAAAAGCGGCTTCATTCTTCGGGCGGCGGGGTCGGGAAGGAATTAGCTCTTCCAATGAATTTTTTTCTGCTACCTCGCTACATTTCTCTGTGAAATGGGGCAAAGGTGTGATCCTGGTCAACTATAAAACCCCCAGTTCCTGGACGATGCCTGGCAGTGGTGCAGTTAACAATAAATGTTTGCTGAATGAATGTTTGAAAAAAAGGCTCCTGATATAACGACTTTACTCCCAGCCTTTCCTCCAGGTGTAGATCCCCACTCAGGCCAATCTCTCTCTCTCTCTCTCTCTCTCTCATACACACACACACACACACACACACACACACACACCATCAAAGCATCACTGTTCAGGAGTTACAGCAGAACTAAGGAAAGAAGATATATGAAGCCCTGGCTAGCATAGCTCAGTGGATTGAGTGCAGGCTGCGAACCAAAATGTCGCAGGTTCGATTCCCAGTCAGGGCACATGCCTGGGTTGCAGGCCACAGCCCCCAGCAACCGCACATTGATGTTTCTCTTTCTCCCTCCCTTCCATCTCTAAAAATAAATAAAACATTTAAAAAAAATAACATAATCCAATTGTTTCAAAAAAAAGATATGTGACAGGGTAAATCTTTTCTGCTCAATTCCAAAGCATAGGTAATGGGCCACTCGGCTTCTACAGGCTTACTCGAATACAGTTTTGTGTGAGGGTTGCTACACTCACCCTTTTCCATAGTCTCTCTCCCACTTAAGCAGAAGGCAGAAATTAATATTGTTGAGTTAATACCTCACACTTGAGTGGATAATGTTAGGCTATGTGCTAAGCTATTTGCATATATTGGCCCCTCAATCCTCACAATAACCCCATAAATTCTGTAGTTACCATCACCATTTTATAGAGGGAGAAACTGAGGTTCAAAGGAGTTAATTAATTTGAAAGGTACTCCATCTCTACCCATAGGATCTGGTTGATCAGTCCTTACTGAGCATCTATATTTGTCCTTTACAGCAAGTCTGCAGACAGGAATATAAGGTTGGGTTCTTGGCCCTCAAGGAGCTAATAATATTCTAGAAGAGACAAGATATATTTGCATGATAAACTTTATGCCAGAAATAATCAGTAAACCATAGAAGAGATGGTGGCATATAATGTGTGATTTAAGCCATATTGATGATTTGAATCCATCTTGCATGTGCCCACATCAATATCTGGTCTCAAACCATATGTGGGCTAAAAGTGAAGGTCCAGAGCTATGTAGTTCTGTATAGGCCTAGCTCTAAGCCCTTCATAAAAACACTTTGATGATGATGGCGATGATGACAACTATACCCTCAACAACTCATCACGTACCTAATGTCCTTACAAGAAGCAGAACAGAGGCTTCATTCATTCTCTGCCCCTCCCCACTCTAACCCAGCTATTCATTAACTTTGTAGAATTATCTTAGCAATGAAAACTAAACAGTGACAGATTGCATATGGTTTTATCTACTACTAGGAATCTTAGGTTGCTTAGCTGTGCAGTTGGAGTAGCCCCTGCAAAGTGGTAAATTAGGATGCAGCATTATCTAGTTGGATTCTTCAAGCCACTGTGAAATGAGAGAATTGAGGCGACACCTGGGCCTTTCTCATCACAGTTCAAAAAGAAGCTGAAGCAAAAGAGAAGAGTAAGACCAATGAAAAGGGAAGACAATTTAGGTTGAGGGAAACAAGAGAAGACTGCTACTATCCAGCTGGTGGGTTCAGCAGAGATTTTTGGAAGCTAGGAGAGCTCAAAACTGTCCCATTTCTCCTGGGACAACTCAATGGGTGTGAATGCAAATGTTAGAAATTGGTAGGTTAAATGATCCCTAGAGATTTTCACAAGTGAGTGGAAAGGAGATGGAGGTCCAAGGACCCTCTAAACTTAATGTCTGAGAAAAGGACCAGAGTTTGCCATCCAAGGTGGCTATTAGTGATCTTCGCCAATAACATTCATTTAGCACCCACTGTATGCAGAGCTCAGTTTGAGATTCTGCAGGTAATGCTAAGGAAGCCAAAGGCAGTCCCCACATTCCAGGAAAGGCTGTACAACGTGTCTAGCCAAATCAATCTCTTGACTTCACAGTCCTTCTGTTTCAAGTCATTATTGCATGCCTACTAACTTTTTCAGCACTCTCATAATTGCCCCAGCTCCTATTCTCCAGCCTTTCCTCCCACTGGTCCCCAACACAACTCTTCAATTTCAGCCAGACTCCACTTCTATTCATTCACTCAAGGGCCCCTTTCATTATTCAACCTAGATACCTCTGTTAAGAGAGCCCAATACCTGGTACCACTCTCTCACTGAATGAAACTTGCCCAAACTCCAAACTCCCATCAAGGCATCTCTCATGCAGGAAACCTTTCCTGACCTTGCCAGCCCACAGTGATTGTTCCCATTTCTGAACTCTGCAGCACATCACAATTCTTTTATGTTCTCCCCAGCCCCAGAAAGACTTGAAGATCCTAGAAAGTAAAAGCTCTGCATTTTTAATTGCTCAGCACTCAGACCTCAAATATTTTCCTGCACACATAGCAAGCAACCAATACACTTAGTGGTTAATGAAATTTAAAGTACACACAACTATGGTTACTTTTAGGGAAACAGATGATTCCAGGAAGAGAGGGGTTTTTCCTTTTTTCCCTTTTTATACTGTTAAAATTTTCTTACCTTTATCCAGATATTGCTTACATTTTTATTGCCATGTTATTTGGCAGAGAGATCATAACCTTTACATTCTCACTTTTGTCTTTCATTTATCCATTCAAATATCTGTTGAACAGCTATTATATGCTACACACTGTTTTAGGTGCTGGGGTTATAACAGCAAACAAGGCAAGCAGAGTTCCTGTCCCCCTGGAGTTTACATTCTTGTTGAGAAAAAGGAAAATACACATATAAATATATATTCAATGTTGATAAGTACTATGAAGAAAAAATAAAGCAGGGTAAGGGGACAGAGAGTAAGAGTGTTGCTATTTTTATAAAGGACAATTGATCAAAGAAGCCTTCTTTGATAAAGTGACATGGAGGCAGAGACCTACAAGAAGATGGGGAGCAATTCATGGTGTACTTGGGAAAAGAGTGTTCCAGGCAGAGGGAACTGTAAGTGCAAAGGTCCTGAGATGGGAGTATATTTGAAAAACAGGGAAACCAGAGTGGCCAGAGAGGAGCAGGCAAGGGAGAGAATATTGAGAAAATTTTTGTTTATTTAACAAAATTTGATTTAGTGCCCACCATGTACCAGACACTGTTCTAAGTACTTTACACACATTAACTCATTTACTTCTCACAACAACCCTATGAGGTAGACACTATTATCCCCATTTTTGAAGATGACACTGAGGCACAGAGAGATTAATTCATTTGCCCTAGGTCACTCAACTGGTAAATGGTAGACTCAGAATTTGAACCCAGGTAGTGCAGCTCCAAAGTCTGTATCCTTAGCCACTATGCACAATATAGGTGGGGATGAAGGGAGCAGATCAGGCAGGGCCATGTTGGGCAGACACTTTGGATTTTGTTTAATGTGAGGAGAGAATCCACCAAAGAATTTTATTCTGACTTACATTTTAGCAGGATCACCTTGGCCACAGACAGGAGGGGCAGGGAGAGCAAGCAGATGGTGGGGGAGATCTGGGATAGAAGCAGCAAGACTAGTTAGGAAGCTCTGCAATGACTCAGGCAAAAGATGATGGTAGCTTGCCTCAGGATGAAAGGAACGGAAATGGTTTTCCTCCTCTTTAAGCTAAAATACATATTAAAATATATAAGAATACTCATGAAACCAACATAAAGGCATATACTGTGTTTGTGAGTGCTTAGGTGCTGGGCTAGATGCTGGAAATACTTCAGTGAACATGACCATAAGACCCAGTCCCTGCCCTTGACCATCTCACAATGTTGCCAGATAGTTAAAAATATGAATAAATTACAATACAGAGGGATGAGTGTCATAATGAAGGGATGAGTGTCATAATGAAGGGATGAGTGAAATGCTCTTGGGACCAGATGAGGAATTATTTAATTCTGACCATTGAGGGTTAGATGGAGCTGGAGGTAGAAAGCAGATTGTTGGAAGGAAGCTATAGAGGCAAGTGACAGTTGAATTGGGTCTTGAAGGCAGTCACCATGTAGATGGGAGACAGGGGATGGGTGCCATGCAGAGAGAGCATTTCGAGCAGAGGAACCCGCAGAGGCAAAAGCATCAAAGTGTGAAAAGTGTATGGTATGACCAGATAATAGAATGGGGTAGGGCATCCCAAGAAAATGGAAGAGTTCAGGCCATTTAGTGAAGGGCCCTTATAGATGAAGCAAGAAATTCAGATTCCAGCCTGTAGGCACTGAGAAGTGATCATATGGTTCAATCATTCAGTCATTCAGCCAACCAACAAGGCAGCCACTTTTGTTGAGAAACTGCTATATGCAGACACTGAATTAGGTGGTGAGAATACAAAGATTAACATGCTCAGTCTCAAAGGAAAACATATATGGGAAAAATACAATCCAAGTATGCTCCCTTGATCCTGGGAATGCAATGGTCATTTTATTTTAGATCACCTTGGAATCAGTATAAAGGATGGACTGAAGGCACACAAATCTTGATTTGGGGAGACCAGTTGACTGTGATGAGCAGGAACAAAGTCAACAGATTTCCATGCCATAACATGTTGAGTAAAGCAGATGTGGGTAATGAGGAAACATTTAAGAATGACGCTTAGGTTTCTGGTTTGAGAGACTAGTCGGGTAGTGAAACTCTTTGCCAGAGTAAGAAAAGCAGGTAGGAAGACTGCTGTGGGGGAAAATGATGAACTCAGCTGGCAAATTGTTGAGTCAAAAGTCCCTGAGGACCCCAGC